CTACCCAAGCATAGAGATGGAATAAACACATTAGACAAAGAGGTACTGTCTGAGATGAGTGTGAGGAGGTAGAAAGGACTCTGAAGGTTTGATGGAGAGGGATGGAGAGCAGGAGCTCTGCTCACAGAGACAAGAATGTCAGAGAGAGGAAGTGATAGGGAGAAGCAGCAGCACACACCCAGGACTGGAGAGAAGTGCTGGTTGCCTCTGTGGGTGAGTTGACAGTGTTGTAACATCCCCCAGGCCTCCTGCTCCTCTTGGGGTCAGCAACCTGGATACCTCCCAATTGGCTCCTGCAGGCAGCCAAGGAGGAGAAAGGATGAGCCCTGCATTCTCCCCTCTCTCCCCCTCACACACTGAACTAATTTCACTGTTCTGGCTCCCGGTTCTCCTTTCTGTAACTCAGTTCTCCCCACGGAGAAGCTCAGGTGAAGACCCAGAACAGCTCGTTCGTGTGACCACATCAGCCTCCTTCTGGCCTTCTCTAGACCCTCACTGTCGGCTCAGGTGTTTCATTCTCACAAAGGTACCTGTCACCGACCATCCTCTGCACAAAGCCTGTCCATGGGTCCCCCCTTGACTCCAGCCACATCCAGTGATTTACCCCACAGTCCGTGCTGCTGATGATCAGGCTGAGTTACACTCTCCAGTCTCAGTGAGGCCAATGCCTCCTCCAACCAAACTCATCCCAGTGAACCTCCTCCCCTCCCCCAACACACAACCCAGTTAGGACCACATCGGGCCTCCTCACAGGGCCGGCTGAGCGCATCTAAACAGAGCTGCCTCCTTTCCAAACTTCTTAGACTGAAACAACATACATTTATTTCCAAAATGTACTCCTTACATTTTGGAAATAAAGCAATAGACTTCACAATAATCAATGTGTGAATGAAAACAGAAGTGAATGTTTTAGATTAAATGATAATGTAACTATTACACATCAAACCTATGAAATGAAAATATGAGAAACCATGTGTGCTTGTCAGTGTGTGTGTGTGTGTGTGTGTGTGTGTGTATGTGTATGAATATGCATGTGTATGTGAGTGTGTGTGTGTTCATGGGCAGCTATACCCATCTGTCTGAGGGAAGCAGAGGTGAGAGCTGAGGTGGGAGGGTCACATCTGGATGATCATGAACAACCATGAGTTTAGAAGGAAGAGTCTGGTTTCACCCTGAAGACAGTGAGGACCATGGGAGGGTTTAAGCATAAACAGCTTCTGAAAGGCTGTGGCAAAGGCACATGTGGACCGTGAACTGGAGAAGGGAGTGAGGGTGTGGAGCCCAGAGCTCAGGAAGGTGGTGGATGTAATGGCTGCCTTGGGGGGTGTGAAGATGACCTCCCTCCCTGCCTTGTTGCCTGGGGACACCAAGGGGCCCTCAGAACAGTGAGCCCTTGGGTGGGGGGAGGGAGTAGCCTGGTTGCTGTGCAAGATGCATCTGCTCCCACAGGAAGCTCAATGCCTCCTCTTGGCCCTGGGACGCAGGTCCTATGTCTCACACAGGCTCCTCCTGACTTTTGGTCTCTCCGTGTCCTGGGGGTGAATCCTCTGAGTCATTTCTGCCCTTACAGAGCACCTTTGATGCCGGGTGTCACTCTCCTCTTCAAACTGTGGAGACTCATCAGGACTCAGACAAGAACAACATTCATGGGAGTCCTGTTCCAAGGCAGCAACACACACAGACACATTAAATATCAATAGTGGCGCGACCACATCCTGAATGGTTGAAGGACACTTGAGCAGGGCACTTCCTCCCTTGACTTCTCAGCAATACCAACACCTTCCCCACAAAGATGGTGAGAATTCTTCTCGACTGAGATATAGAAGAAACGAAACCAGCCATGCAATGCAGATGGAGATGGTGGAGGTTTGAGAAATTGAAAATCAAAGACGCCTCGTCCAAAGGAGAAGAAGGAAGACTCCAGGTCAGACCCCTCGTGTGGAGGCACCTGGACCGTTCAGTGGGGAGGTCATGGTCTTTCCATCACATGGCGCTGGGCCAATGAGTGAGTCTCTAGGACATGGTGAACATCTTACCTGCCTCACAGCATTTGCAATAAGCAATGCAGGATGGGTGACAGATCTAAACAAGAGAAATAAATCAATTATTATTACTTTTACCAAACTATCTTATTAACTTGTGAGAATTTTTTTTCACGTGGACACAAGAAGACAAACTTAGGGGGAAATGGACACAGTGGAATCACTAACAGGAAGAACTACTGTTCCTCATAGAAACCAGCGAGACAGGGAAGAGGATAATAGCGATGGCAAAATGCGACCACGGACTGGCACTCAGATCACCTAAGAAATATTACAGATCCGTAATGTGGCAGCAGAGAGCAATAGAAAAGCAAGCAAACACCTTTATCAAGCAACTGATATTGACATGCAAACGTGCACTGACATTACGTAAAGGTGATGAGCTGGCCTTGGCTGGTGTTTTTGAGTGGTTAGCGCATCAGCCTGACCACTGAAGGGTCACAGGTTTGCTTCCCGGTCAAGGGCATGTGCCTTGGTTGCAGGTTTGCTACTCCACCCCCATGTGGGATGCAACCAATTGGTATCTCTCTTACATCAATGTTTCTCTCTCTCTCTCTCTCTCTCTCTCTCTCTCTCTCTCTCTCTCTTCCTCAGTCTCTCTGTCTTTCTCTCTCTCTCTCCTTCCTTCTCTCCCTTCCATCCTCTCTAAAAATCATTGGAAATAATACCATCAGGTGAGGAGTAAAAAACCAATTTTTTTAAAGAAAAGGTGCTGAGCTTTATAAGTCATTGAAGGAATAAATGTGCATCAATCCACAGGGTGGTACCAATACTTACACTGAATAATGAAAATTAAAAAGGCGGGAAACATGAAGGGTTGGCAGGGATGGGAACCTACCAGGACTCTTGAACCAGGGAGTCTTGGAAATGCTGAGGCCACTGGGAAACTGCTCAGCAGAGTCTTTATAAATGAGCTCCCTCAAGAGCCGTGGTCAGGGGACCCATTAGGCTGTTCAGAGCCAGACTCTCAGGGGCGGATCAGGACCAGAACCTGGGTCCAGCCCACTCTGAGCAGGAGTCAGACAATCAGACACATGAGACCCCGAGGATCAGGTGAGACCTGAGAACCTGTCTCTCCCTCACCCCTCATCCGGGGGAGATGCAGAGCCAGGCCCAGGGTGGGGTCCTCCCTTGTCTGTGGGTCCACAGCTGTGAACCCAGAAGGCGGAAGCAGCTCCGGACCCACCACATCCTGTGCGTCTCTGTCCTTCAGGCCCAGGACTCCTCCATCTGCAGAGCAGGAGCCCTCAGAGCAGACGCCATGACGTCCATCCTCTCTGCTCTTCTCTGCCTCGGTTAGTTGTGGACACGGGGAGGGAAGGCAGGAGGGGGAGCAGGAGAAGGGACAGAGTGTTTATACCCCCTTGTTCATGGGGAACATCAGGCTCAAGCAATTCAAGTGGATGGGGCCCTGATGGGAAGGGAACCAGCTGAGACATCTGGGTGCAAATCTCTCACAGGGACTCTCTTTCAGGGCTGAGTCTGGACCAGAGGACCCGTGTGCAGGCAGGTGAGTCCTCCCCAGGCTCCATGTCCCTCCTCTTACTTCACTCCTGGGGCTCAGGAGGGAGCACAGAGGTGCTGGGATGAGGTGATAAAATGAGAGGGTCTTGGGCTGAGCTGGGGGATGAGGCGGGGGAAAGTCTTTGTAAAGCAGCCTCTGGTTTCCTTTTAGAGAAACTCTCCAAACCCACCATCTGGGCTGAGCCAGGCCCTGTGATCCCCTGGGGGATTCCTGTGACCATCTGGTGTCGGGGGATCCTGGAGGCTCAGGAGTACCGGCTGTATGCAGATGGCAGTCCTCGGTACTTGGACAGACAGAAATCCCTGGAGCCTGGAGACAGGGCCAAGTTCCTCCTTACAGGAAACTATGCAGAGAGATATACCTGTAACTACCTCAGCCCCACTGGCTGGTCAGGGCACAGTGACCCCCTGGAGCTGGTGGTAACAGGTGAGAGGACACTCAGGGGTCCCAGCCTTAGGCCCTGCCCTCAGGAAGGGGGTCTGCTCTCAGGGTGTCTCCCTCTCACAGCCCAGCCCTGGGGGACATGAGGGAGATGTGAGCCCCATTTAACACGCTGCCTCCTCCCCCTCCCTAGGATTCTACCGCAAACCCAGCCTCTCAGCACTGCCCAGCCCTGTCGTGACCTCAGGAGGGAACGTGACCCTCCAGTGTGGCTCAAGGGAGGAATTTGACAGGTTCCTTCTCACTAAGGAAGGAGATCACAGGCTCTCCTGGACCCTGGACTCAAAGCGACAGCCCAGTGGGTGGTCCCAGGCCCTGTTCCCAGTGGGCCCTGTGACCCCCAGCCACAGGTGGATGTTCAGATGCTATGGCAATTTTGAGAAGCATCCCCAGGAGTGGTCTGACCCAAGTGACCCCCTGCAGCTACTGGTCTCAGGTGAGCGGCCCCTGATCCCATCCTCTTTGAGCACAGGCAGCTCAGGGTCCCGCCCCCAGGAGACATCTGAGGTTGGAGGAGAGTGAGGGTCTGAGTGTTGGTCATCCAGCAGAGATCTGCTCTCAGTGATGCTCTCACTTTTGCTGACTCCTTCCCATGAACTGGGTTGGGAAGTTGTTAAGTGGGCGGGGGGAGTGTCTTCGGGGGACACAGAGCAGATGTAGGAAAAGCGACAGAGTGATTTGGAGACTCCAGAGAGAGCCCCAGCCTCACCCCTTTCTATCCTCATTTCCAGGACCCTCTGGAGGCCCCAGGCCCCCACCCACAGGGCCCACCTCCATAGCTGGTGAGTCCCGGGGAGCTCTGCTCAGAGGGAGCACAGCCCACCCAGCAAGTCCTGACAGATCCTCAAGGACGGGCTTGTGTCCCAGGGTCTGAGGCAGGTGATGGGTGGGGTGGTCATGGCAAATGGAGATGTGGGGGAACAGGCTGGGGAGGGGGTGCTGAGCTCTAGTGGGATAAGGCAGCCCCCACCTCATACCTGTCATCCTCATCCCCAGGAGGCTCTAAGTAAGGCCCACAGAGGGGTACGTGAGAGTCCTGTGGAGGTCGTGGGTTCCTCCATGGGGACAGAGGCTGAACCATGGGGGGTTAAAGGGTTCAGGCCCCTCTGGATTTGCTGACTTGGACACCCCTTCCCCTGTCTGGGCTTCAGTGTCTCTAAGTGAAAAGGAGGGAATCCTTGTCCAGAGCTTAGATGTCCTGTTGGTTCTGGCCCTGACCTCCTGGGAGAGGGGCCTCACAGGGAAGCCCCCAGGATGTGATGTTATGGGGCCTGTCCCCTCTGTCTCAGTGACAGTCACACTGTACAGGGAGGGACAGGCAGGACCAGGGTCCGGGTGCCCAGTCCCAGCCCTCAGCTCAGGCTCAGTTCAGAGGAGGAAACAGAGTGGGTCAGCCCTGGCTCAGCTCCTGGCTCTGCTGCTCCTGCTGTGGGGCTGGGCGGTCCCTTCTCTCCTCTGAGTGTCGGGTTCCTGTCTGCTCATCCCTGGTCCCATCCTGCTCACAGGCTGCTGGGAGATGAGGTGACATAAGGACCTCACAGAGCTCAGGAAGGCAGAGCCCCCAGCCCAGCCTGACCTTCCTGGGGGGCTGTCAGAGACATGTGGGTGGAGAGGGATCCAGGAGAGACTCAGAGTCCATCCCACACCCTGCCCATCCCTGTCTTTGCTATCCTGGGAGTGGGTAATGGGGAAGGACCCTCAGCTCCAGAGGAGACATGGACAGGCCCCTGCACAGAGGAGCCCAGAGCACAAAGCTGTTGTCCACCTGAGAGATGGCAGCGGGGGGCGGGGGAGCATGACGACAGCACAGGGAACTCACAGTCCCGGGTTTCTATCCCACAATCCAGTCTGGGGCATGTGATTAATCCCACGGAGCCTCGGTGGGGTCATCCATGCTTGGTGCATGACTGCTGTGAGGTGAGAAGAGATGAGTGACAGACCCCAGCATGTGCCTCTCACACAGTAGGTGCTTATTAAATGGCATCACTGGTTCATTCATGACGTCAATAATATCCTAGGTCGCAACTGGTATGGGATAAGAGTCTTGGTGGCCTTGGTCCTGTTTCTCTCCCTCCTCTTCTTCCTACTCCGACATTGGCATCAGAGCAGAGGCAGGAGCTCAGGTGAGTAGGGAAGGGGGTGAACTGGGTCACAGGAGAGGGGCTCAGAGCACCTGCCACAGGAAAACCAAATAGATGGAGAAGGTGAGCTGGGAAAAAGATTTCTCCACAATCTCAAATCAGAAAACCTAGGAAGAATACACTCCCTGCCAGCACAGATGGACAGAGGTAAGGTCATCTTTCATCCTTTTCAACCTCATGAATATGAAACATTCTCACAAGCGCTGTTTCCGAATCTATTGATAAGATCATGTGGTTTTCATCCTTCATTTTGTTTATGTGGTGAATCACATTTATTGATTTGTGAATATTGAACCATCCTTGCATCTCCAGAAAAAGTTCTTCTTGGTCTTGGTCTGTGATCTTTTTAATTTATTGCTAGATCTGGCAACGTGAGGATAAGTGACAGGAGGATTTCAACAGTGGAATCAAGGAGACGCCGTTTTGTCTCACTGTCTCTCTCCAGCAGATCAGGCAGGATAAGGACCCCCAGGGAGTCTGTATGCCCAGGTGAACTGCTCACCATCAAGACTCAGGCAGGGAATGACCACCTCTCTTTCTTCCATATCAGGGGAATGTTATGACACAAAGGACCGACAAGCCGAAGAGGACAGACAGATGGTCAGTCAGGTGGGTCCCATCCTCCCCAGGCCCCAAGGCTTCTCAAACCCCAACCACGTTTCATCTCTCTCTCTCCCCCTGCTCCAGGCTGCTGCACCTGATGCCCCCACAGGATGTGTCCTACACCCAGATGAACCTCTTGGCTCTTAGACAACAGACTGGTGCACCCCCATCCTCCTCATCAGAGGAACCCCCAGTTGAGCCCAGTGTGTATACTGCTCTAGCCATCCACTAGCTCAGGAGGGACTCAGACCCCATACTCCACAGAGGGGGCCTGCAGGGACCCCTGAAGGCATGGGTACTTCCCCCGGGGCACTCAGCTAGTTCCCCATCCATTGTGGAGACCTGTGTTGCCCCAGGGACTCTCAGGGAGTCACCTCATTCTATAGTCAAAGATAAGCCAATGTCTCTACATTTGGAAATCAAAGCAACAGACTTCCCAATAATCAACATGTGAACAAAAACAAGCGAATGTTTTAACTGGAATTGTAATGTCAATATGACTCATCAAACCTATGAAATAATAAAATTAAGAACCTTAAAAATCAATGGCTTAAACTATCATTTCAAGAATTTAGGGGAAAAAACATTCTATTAAATATTTAGATCCATAGCCAACTAGATGATAAAGATATGGTGTGTATGCACAATGGAATATAAACTAGCCATAAATATAGTGAAATCCTGCCAATTGGGACAACATGGATGGACCTGGAGGGTATTATGCTAAATAAAATAATTCAGAGAAGGAAAGATCTCACTTATCTCTGGGATTTTTCACATCCTCAAAGCAAAGGACACAAAAGCAGACCCATAGGAATAAATAACAAACTGATGGTTGCCAGACGGGAGGGAAGGAAGGATGGGTGAGAAGGGGAAGGAAAGATAGTGAATAATAATTATCATATCTGTGCTGTATGCCTGAAACTAATATGACACTGTATGCCAACTATGGTTTAATAAAAATGGTCAATTAAAAATGATTAGTTCAACAATAGAATTTTTTTCTAAATGAAGGCATAAGGTGGAAATGATACGGCTTTGCATAGGAAAGGAAACCATCAACAAAATGAAAAGACAACCCACCGAATGGAGAACTATTTGCCAATACATCTGATAAGGGCTTATTGTTCAACATTTATAAGGAACTTATAAAGCTCAACTCCAAAAACCCCCAAACAATTCAATAAAAAAATGGGCAGAGGACCTATAAACACTTCTCCAAAGAGGACACATCCATGGCCAGTAGACATATGAACAGATGCTCAACATCACTAATCATCAGAGAGATGCAAATTGAAACCACGCACCTTTCGGAATGGCTTATCATCAATAAATCCACAAATATCTATGTCCCTCTATGATCACAGCAGCCTTATTTACAAAAGCCAAGATCTGGAAACAGCCCAAGTGCCCACCAGCAAATGAAAGCTATGGTATATTTACACAATGGAATATTGTGCAGCTGTAAAATAAAGAAGTAATTTTTACCTTTGGTGACAGCATGGATGGTCCTGGAGAGCATTATCTGAAGTGAAATAGGCCAGTCAGAGAAAGACAAGTTCCCTATGATTTCACTCATATTTGGAATCTAATAAACGAAATAAAACATAGTGGAGAGAGACTTGTGTATACAGAGAACAGACTGACAGCTGTCAGAGGAGAGGGGGTTGTGGGCTGAGGGAGAAGGATGAATGGATTAAGCAAAGAAATAAAAGAAAGACTCATGGACACAGACAATACTATGGTGACTGCCAGAGGGAAGGGTGCAGTGGGGGGAGGTAAAAACAGGGTAAGTTGTGTGGAAATAGAGTGATAAGCACACAATACCATGTACAGATGCTGTAGTGTTGAATCGTATACCTGAAACCTGTATAATTTTATTAACCAATGTCACCCCAGTAAATAAAAAAAATCAGTAAAAAACAAATACATGTAGGCTGTTTGGAAATGTGGTTCTAGTCAGACCCTCAGCACCTGCTATTTTTAGGGTGAGAAGAAGGTGTCGCCTTCCTGTGAGGCAAGCACCTTGTAGACAGTGCTCGGGTGGTGGTGTGAGGGCCCTGTTGGCTCAGCCCTGCCTCCTCTTCCTCAGAAGCACCCTGGTCCCCAATCCTCAGTCTCCGGAAGTGCAGGTCGACAGGAGCTGAATATGGACTTAGTGTTTCTGAATTTCTGCTCCTTGGCTGCTTCTGAGGTGACAACACATGAAGTGTCACTCTCCAGGGAATTTTATGCCTTAGTGACTTACATTGAAGTCTTTTATCCATTTTGAGTGTACTCTTGTGTATGGTGTAAGTGGGTGGTATAGTTTCTTCCCTTCCTTCATTCCTTTCTCCCTTCCTTCCTTCCTTCCTTCCTCCCTCCCTCCCTCTCTCTCTCTCTCTTTCTTTCTTTCTTTCTTCCTTTCTTTCTTTCTTTCTTTCTTTCTTTCTTTCTTTCTTTCTTTCTTTCTTTCTCCTTTTTTCTTTCTTTCTATTTTTTTTGCATGTATCTGTCCAATATTCCCAGCACCATTTATTGCAGAGCCTGCCTTCACTCCACTATTATTCACAAAGTCACTAATCATCAGAAAAATGCAAGTGCTGGATGTGGAGAAGAGGGAGCCCTCGTGCACCCCTGCTGGGGATGTACCCTCTCACAGGCCAGGCTGCAGGAACAAACCGAAACCGGCAGTCTGACATCCCCCAAGAAATGTAGTAGTGCATGAAGTGGCAGCGTTTGAGGAGGCGTCCAAGCCCCAGCTGGGCTCCACACCACTCCCGCTCATGCTGCCAGCCATAAGCGTCTGCTGCCACTCGGTAGTGCTACCACGGAGGGGGGAGAGGTTCACACCACCACATCTTGGCTCGCCAGCAGTGATCCCAGCTTCTGGCTCACGTATGAAAACTGAACGGAACTCCAGCTGTGGGAGCGCACTGACAACCAGGGGGCAGCTCCTGCATTTAGCATCTTTCCCTGGTGGTCAGTGTGCATCATACCAACCAGTTGACCAGTCAACTGGTCCTTTGGTAGTTTGGTCGCTTAGGCTTTTATATATATAGACTAGAGGTCTGATGCATGAAACTCGTGCAGAAGTAGGCCTTCCTTCCCCCATCTGCCAGCACTGGCTTCCCTCTGGCACCCGGGACCCGGGCATCCCTTGCAACCTTGGTTTCATCAGAAGGTCATCCAGAAGGACTTGCAGTCTAATTAGCATATTACCCTATAATTATTATAGATAGCCTTCCCCTTCAAGATAATACCATATCTTGTGTATTATTATTGACATTATTACAGATGACCTTCATCTCTGCCTATATGCCCCCCCTCCACCCAGAACACACCACACCACAGGCCTTCTGCACACTAATATCTATGGCTTTGAGCTATGCATATATGAAGGTAAATTTTTTAGTTAATCTTTTTCTGCCCCCCCTTCCTTCCCTGAGATCTGTCCAGTTGTTCCATGGAGCATGCCTCTGGACATATTTTTTTGATCAAGTTATATTGTTCATTATATTCAACTTATAAGTGAAATCATGCACTATTTTTCTTTCTCTGACTGGCTTATTTCACTTAGCATAATATGCTCCAGGTGCCTCCATGCTGTCTCAAAGGGTAAGGGGTCCTTATTTTATCAAAGCTGCATAGTATTCCCTGGTGTAAATGTACCACAGCTTTTTTACCCATCCATCCACAGATGGGCACTGGGGCTGTTTCCAGGACTTAGCTATTGTAAATACTGCTGCTATGAACAATCTTTCTGATTGGTGTTTCGGGTTCTGAGGATATATTCCCATAAGTGGGATCTGCTGGGTCCATCCGCAGTTCCATTTTGAGCTTCATGTTAACAACTGAGGAATGAAGCACTAAAACCTCTGCTATGGAAACTTCACTGGGAGTTGAGACTGTTTCCTGATGGATGAGCAGCACCAACGTGACACTGCAAAGTCCCTTCAAAATTGTCGTCACAGAATCCAAAGGCCAGACCACATGTGTGGAGTCACCAGGAACAAAGGAAATGATCCCTGCAGTGCCTGGGAGGGATCGGGCACCTGTCCCCCAAGAGCCTTCTTTCCTCCTGAGCCCTCAGTTTGGGGAAACTCAGAGCCAGGCCCAGGGCGGGAGTGTCCGCATGCAGTGGGTGCACAGTTGCGGACCCGGAAGGGCTGCAACAGCTTCTGACCCACCACATCCTGTACGTCTCTGTTTTTCCAGCTCTGAGTCTCCTCCATCTGCACAGCAGGAGCCCTGAGAGCAGACGCCATGGTGTCCATCCTCTCTGCTCTTCTCTGCCTTGGTCAGTTGTGGACTCGGGGAGGGGCAGCAGGAGGGGTGGCGGCACCCCCTTGTTCATGGGGAACCTCAGGCTCAGGCAGCTCGAGTGGATGGGGCCCTGATGGGAGGGGAATCAGCTCAGACGTCCGCATGCAAATCTCTCACATGGACTCTTCCAGGGCTGAGTCTGGGCCAGAGGATCCACGTGCAGGCAGGTGAGTCCTCCCCAGGCTCCAGGTCCCAGCTGGTACTTCACCCCTGGGGCTCAGGAGGGAGCACAGAAGTGCTGAGATGAGCTGGGGGATGAGGGGGGGGGGAGGGCTTTGTAATGCAGCTTCTGGTTTCCTTCCAGGGACCCTCCCCAAACCCACCCTCTGGGCTGAACCAGGCTCTGTGATCCCTTATGGGAGCCCTGTGACCCTCTGGTGTGAGGGGTCCCTGGAGGCCCAAAAGTTTGATCTGTATAAGGAGGGGAAACGTGTGCTTTGGAACACACAGACTGGAAGGAACTCCACAACCAAGGACAAGTTCTCCATCACACACATGACGGAGCATGATGCAGGGATATATCACTGTTACTATCACAGCCCCACTGGCTGGTCAGAGCCCAGTGACGCCCTGGAGCTGGTGGTGACAGGTGAGAGGACACTCAGGAGTCCCAGCCTCGGGCTCTGCCCTCAGGAAGGGGGTCTGCTCTCAGGGTGTCTCCATCTCACAGCCAATCCCTGAGGGATGTGAGGGGGTGTGAGCCCCATTTAACACCCTGCCCCCTCCTCTCCTAGGATCTTACAGCAAACCCAGCCTCTCAGCCTTGACCAGCCCTGTCGTGCCCTCAGGAGGGAAGGTGACCCTCCAGTGTGGCTCAGGGCAGGGATTTGATAGGTTCATTCTGACTAAGGAAGGAGATCACAGGCTCTCCTGGACTCAGGACTCACAGCCACAGCCCAGTGGCTGGGCCAAGACCCTGTTCCTTGT